TATATATATATATATATATATATTTCTTTGGGTTCCCCATATGTGTCCTCATTTGGAATCAAGTCTGCTCGAGATACTATTGAACACTAAATGTGGATTCAATTCCTAGAAGGAATTCGAACCCTGATTTGCCATGTCATGGAGGACTAACCCTTTCTGCTAGACCTAACCCCCTTAGATGCAGTGTGCACATATATTTTCAGCTATGATTGTAACAAAATAAATACACACATGGTCATGGTGTCATTAGCTCTAGAAGAAACATATACCTTCCTGGGAGCTGTAAGAGTCCCATCAACATCAAACAAGGCAATTAAACCAGGTTTGCTGACAGCCATTGTAACTCACTCTTATCCACAAAAACCTGCAAAATTTTGAATCATTTTATCAAACTCCAAACTTGCAAATAAGCTCTTTTACTTCAATTCCCAGAAGGCACATCAAATTACAGAACAAGTCCATTCTACTAAAGAAAATTAAAATTTCAATAAACATCGTCAGAATTAGATGACACCCTTAATCAAATACATCATCCAAGTGGTTTTTCAATGCTTCTTCATGAGAACAAATAAGTATAATTGGGAAAAGATGAGATTTTTGCAATTGAAGCTGATGCAAATGCAGAAGTGGAATTGAAAGGTGAAAACTTGCCTGGGAGGGAAGTGTGGAAGTGAGAGTAGGGGACAGAGCTTGAGGCAGATCTTCAAAGGGGTTTGTTTATAAGAGTTGGATGAGATCTGAGAGGGAAATGGACAGAGGAAGAAACTCTGTGTGGGACCCACAAGTTGGAGAAACATGTGCCTCGTACCATTCAAACTTGCCAAAGTGAAGGATCAACAATCAAGTTGCTGCTGCTTACTTTTCTGTCATGAATTGTTTGTTAATCCTGATTCCTCAGTCAGTTATGAGATTAGGGTTATTTTCTGTTTAGAGAGAAAAATAAATAAATTATGTGCATTCTATTCATCCTTTTCTTTCATCTTACAGTTTTGATTTTTGGTTTTTTTACCAAATCCTTCAGATCTTAAGAAAAAAAAATTAGTAATTTGGTGTAAAAGAGAAAAAATATTAATTTTATGGTGCAACTTCCTATTTTGTTTTACAAGATTTTAGTAAAAATAATTTCCGTACTGAGAGTGTCTTGTCATTTTATTATTTTTATTTATAAAAAAAATTCCAATTTTAATTCTCAATTTCTCATTTTAAAATATTCATAAAATAATATTTGTTTATTATAGACTTAAATATTTATTGTGTAGTGTTAGGATAAAAAAAATACAATTATAAAAAAGAGGATGTTACTTAAATAAAAGATAAATAATTTATTAAAAATTACATAATAATTATATTCTGTGCCAAAACCTTGAACATATGATAAAATAAGATTATTTAACTTAAATGGTTAGTCAAGATAAAAAAAATGGTTAGTCAAGATAGAAAATAAAAAAAATGTTAGTAAAGTTTGTTATTTTAGGGCATTAATTTTCTATGATAAAATAAATGGTTAGTCAAGTGATGGATTTTAAGCACTTGGTCTACATTTAGCTGTTTTTGATGTTTTTCTCTAGTTAAAATTTAAGTTTTATTTATATGATAAAAGTTTGTGTTAATTATATAGGAAGCAATACAAAAATCAATAAATAAATTGCATCCGAATTTAATATGGGCCTATATAACCTTATATTATGTTTATTATTTTCTTAATGACGATATGAGTTATATACCTTAATTCTTTTTTGGCTCAACTTTGCACATTGAAATGGGTTGTGGCCTATGGGGAGTATTCTACAGTTGGAAACTTCATGAAGTAAAGTTAGCAAGCAAAGTCCAAGTCAAGCAAACATGGGAGTCTTCTACTTTTACTTTTGATACAAAGAAGAAGAATTTGGAATATTTTAATAACCATTGAGAATGGCAAAAACTAAAAACAAGAGAGGAAAGAGCTTGCTCTTCGCCATAAAGGCATGTGTCAAAGATAATTTTGATTAGTTTTTTTTTTTTTTAACTCCTTGATCTATTTGGCAAATACTTAAAGTGAGGGAAGGTTGTTCTTGTACCATTTGGAAGGTTTTTCAAAAGCTAGATTTAACGTGCATTAGGCCAAAGGGTAATATAGAGATCATCAAACTAAAGAGTAGTTACATTGCACCTTAGAAAGTCCTTTTGGCTTTAAGTTGGAAGGCAACTTCTTAGCAACATCACTTCACGTCTTGATCCTATATTTTAAAAAATACACATTTAATCCTAAATATGATCACTTTTATTTTTAGTTATGTTTGGTTCCTTTCGTCAATTGTCTCTTAAATTCTTTAGCTAGTATCACAAAACAAAAATTAGTGGTGTATAAGTATAATTGCAACAAAAAATTTTCCACCACAAATTTCGTGCATCTTTTTTATAAGATCAATTTGGACACTTTAGTAAGTGCTAGAAAACTTGTGATAGTTTTACACTAATATCTATTTTGTGTTAGTGTTAGCTAACAACAGTTAAAAAAAAACATTTGATAATAAAATTTATAATGATCTAAAATGATTGTATAAAGACTAAAACATGTAATTTCTAGTTACATGAATAAAAATGTAAAGATAATGTAATAATAAGAAGAAGAAAAAATAGTTAAACCCCACTATAATTTTACATTTTAACTCTATAATCAAATAAAATAACAAAATACAATAATAAAATGTGATAGTGCGTTAATACTTAATAAGGTCAAATTACATAAATAGTCAAATTATATGTATAAATTCTTAAAAACATAAGTTCCTAAAGCTTTAGTTAATTTTTTCAAATTATCTAAGTCGATGTAAAATATTGTTAATGTTAGACAAGATTTCCATTTGATTTTAACTCACAATTTTATGGGAGTTTACAAATACGAGAGTTTACATGAGTTAGTATATGTTGGGTATGTTTAGGAATACGTTTGACACAATGCAAATGGCATTTTTCACTTTCAAAAACAAAAAATATAAAAGTAAGGGGATAGTTGCTTTAGATTAAACGTGTGTTTAGTGAAGTTGAACTCTGTTAATCTAAAACTGAGTTTAAAGCGAATTAACTCATTTTTCTACATTAAATCGTAAGGTTGTAAGATTGTACAAGTTGGCTCCAGAGTTTGACATCAATGATACTCATTTTGTTCATCAATCCTGATGGAAACAAAATATTGAGCCAAAATTATGGCACTTGATTCCTCTTAAAAGAAACAAGGCTTAGAAGGACACCATTCTGCTCAAGTGTTAGCTGGCATTACAGGATGTGCAGTGCCTTCATTAATTAGTTAGTCATAAATAGCCAAAGTATACCAATTTGGTAAAGAAAGAGAAGTACCAACATACCAGCTTTAGAAATTAATAAGCATACAGATAGATAAGCCATGTATTAGCTTCTAGTAAAGATCATTCATATCTTTCACAAACTGAATCCAATTTTAAAAAGCAGTGAACTTTGCATCTGAAATTAGATTTATCTAATTAGTAATGTCATTATCATCACTATTAATAAGACAACTTATTTGAATACAAATTTAGAAGAATTTTTTAAAGTTTTCCTATCGAAAATAAAAAACTTTTTCCAATGAATAAATTCTCAAAAACACTTCCAATTTGTATTCATACAAGCTCATAGTCTTACAATATTTGTGATTCATTATAGGATTGTTCTTATCAATGCAGGGATACATGTGCCATATTTTCTTGTGGTGCAAGGTACAAACTTGATACATGTCCTAACATGAAAAATGGCTTATTATTTATTCTCTCCAAGTACACAACAGAGTTTTGATCAGAATGGTGCCACTTCATTTCTTGAAAAGAAGAGACCTGAAGGACCTCCATTAGGTAGCAGAGCCAACCTTACAATACTTTGAGCACCTTCATCAACAGTGAAATAACCCGTGTTGTAGTTGAGATCTGTTTTCACATAGCCAGGGCAAACAGCATTAATGCAGAAAGATGGATACTTCTTGGCAAGAACCCTTGTGTAGGCACTCATAGCAGCTTTTGACACTATATATGCAGAAAAACTTTGAGGCCACCCTTTGGTTTCTAATGAACCCTCTTTAAAATCCTTCAGAAACTGATTCAAAACCTCATCCACCTTTTCTTCTGTTAGGCTTTCAGCATCACTTAGGACTCCTCTAACCCATTCACTTGGTATTTTCTACATCAGCATGAACAACAATAACAAACACATCATAATGGTTGAAGAAACACTACATATACAATATTAGAGTCTATTTGAATAAACTTCTCCATAAACATCTATAAGAGAAGAAAATAGAGAAAAAAATGAAATAAATTTTTTTATAAGTTAATTTGTAGAAGTTCTCTTATATTAGATTTTGTTAAAAACTTGTTTTTTACTTGTAGATAAACTAATTTATCCTTAAAATCTGATTGGGTAAACTTTTTCAAAATCACTTCTAAAAAAGAAAAATAGGAAGAAACATAAAATAAAATTTTCTATAAACTAAAATTAACTTATGCATAAGATAATTTATGAAAGTTTTCTTCTATTAGCTACTCCAAAATCTTATTTTTAACTTAAACATAAATTAGTTTTAGCTTGATTTTTCTTCTTAATTTTTTCTCTTAGAAATACTTTGAAGTTTATCTAAACAAATTCTTAATTACATACCTCCAACTTCCCCATCGTGGAGGAAACATTAACAATCCTTGGCGAGTCTGACAATTCTAGAAGGGGAATAAGTGCTTCACACATTAATTTGGCTCCATAGTAGTTTGTTCTAATGCCTGCTTCTGCATATTCATAATTTTCAACCAGGATTTTTCTCCAATCAACTTTAGCAAAATCTTCCTGCAATCAAATTGAAGAAAGTTAACCTTTTTACTTATTATAAGTGCATACATCTTCCAATGCAACAAAAAAATAATGTGTCAATTTGTCATATTCAGATATGTTTGGTGGATTGAGTGATCAAAACGAGATTTTTTAAAATTACATGGATAAAAAAAATCAATTTTAAATTTAAGAGATCAAAAACAAATTTATCTTAAATTTGAGGAATTAAAAACATATTTAAACCTATATAATTTTAGGCTTAAACAAACTAAAGCTGCAGGCAGTATATTTCAGAAAATCATTCCCAAACTAGATCATGTAAGTCCACAATCAAAACTACTTGAAATTAATCTTTTATTGTGAAACCTGACTTGACTTAGTTTTCAGGTTAGAAGATGAAGGGAATATTCCATATGGCTTAGAGAACATACCCCAGATGCAACCATAGCTGAAAAGGCATCAGGGTCAACATGTGCTCCATTAATTCCTGCATTATTCACCTAAACAGAATACAAACATTTCTCACCATTCATTCCAATTTCCGAATAGGTGTGTTTGGTAATGGGAAGAATAATGAATTATGAAAGAGGACACAGCAGAACAGAAATTTAGCAGATCTAAGAGTTGGTACTATAAAACTAAATGACTAGTGCAAACTATTGGGAAAATGAAATTGAAAACATATTTTTTGTCATGCAAGGAACATGGATTTCATTCACTAAATAAAAACTACAACTTTTTGGACTAATATTATCTTATCAATAAACTTATTTCATTTTTTTCTTCTTATTTTCTTCTCTCAAAAATATTTATAGACAAGTTTATCCAAATAGTCAAATAACCTCACAAGATAAGATACGTGTGTTCCTTGTGCTTTGTTGGTATCAAGAAAAAAGGATATAGAAACACATCATAACAAGAGGCTAAAACTTAATCATACCAAGATATCAAGTTTTCCAAACTGGGTTTTGATGAAATTTGCAAGGGATTGAAAGCTTTTAGGGTCAGTCACATCAAGTTGATGAAATAGCACTTGGTCAGAGAGACCAAACTCTTTTTTCAGTTTTTCAACAGCTTCAATACCCCTTTTCTCATCCCTTGCTGTTAGCACCACTGTGATACCATTAGAAACCAATTGTTGGCATATCCCAAATCCTATCCCTTTGTTTGCTCCCGTCACAACTGCATACCTGTAACATAAACCAATTCATGACAATTATGAAGAAAAAAAAAAGCACTTAAAAAAGGCTTTTGATTAAAACTTGTGGATACACATGGATGATTATGAGACTTGAAGAAACATCAAACATGTACCTTTTTGTTGCTGCTGCCATTCTCTATGCAAGAAAACTTGGTAAATCAGGTGCAAGTTTTAAGGCTTGAGTTGACTAGCTTTTATTTTATATCAAAGTTATATATAGACTTTTCATTGTTTTCTACGAACTTCGGGATTCGATAGGAAGTGTTTCTCAATTTTTTTTTATCACTAATGAATGATTAATCTTTAAAAATTATGAATATAGTCTATTTAACACACAAGAGTACTTCTCAACTTTAATCTTTAGTATCAGAAACAATTAATAAAAATAATAATTGGTTTATTTATTTATTTATTATTTTCTAACAAATGGATTTGTTTATTTTGAAGATGATTTTTTTTATTTACTTAATATTATTTGTGAAAAAACTTTCGGCATGTTAAAATTTTGCTTTTTTAGGAAGGGATGTTAAAGTTTCCTGTGGTGAAGTCCCGTTTTTATTTTCTCTGGTGAATATATTAAAGTTATTTCACAAAATTGGAAAATAATTAATAAAATTTTAGTATCAGATTCTTGTGAATAAATAATAGACGTTAGAATTGACTTAAATTTAACACACATACAAATTTATAAAAGGAAAACGTTAGCGATATTTTTTTAACAAATTATTTTGAACAAGTACCTGTTTGTTATTGATTAAAATTTAATAAAAATTACAATTTTTCTTTTTTTGCATTTAATGAGTCACTGTCTTGATTTTATAGTTTTTAATAAAATTCCAACCAATAATAAAGTGTATCTTAAAAGAAGTGTATTATTAGCATTTCTCTTTATAAAGTATTATCAAATAATATTATTAAGCACTCATAATTTATAAATAATATTATTAAATATAATTTTATTTATATTAGTAAATATTTTTTAATAATAGATTATTTCAATTTTCTTTTAAATAAAGAAATATTAAAGTACTTATCGAATAACTTATTTGATATTGATTAGGTTAGGCGCTAAAGTGTCCCTTTAGTCTATCATCTTATTTTTTTATTTTTATTTTTTAAGTTTAGTTACTTAAGTTTAAAAAATGTACGTGTGGTGTTCTAAAATGTCTAGTTAGAATAAATCGGTCATTCTATTATTTTATCATATTATTAATTAGTGTTTAAATTTGACTAATAAACATTGTAAAAAAAAAACTTTGAGTAATATATTACGTGTTATTAAGTTAACTAAATTAATGTAATAACTGCATCTGAATAAATTAGAGTAATAAATTCATGGAAAGACCAATTTAATCAAGTAATGGTACTTCAAGAAAAAAAAAAGTGAAATTAAAAAATAAATAAAAGAAAATATGTTTTAACATCTAATTGTTATAACAATTAATATAATATCAAATAAGTCTTTCAAATGACATCGAATTTCGATCTATCAAGTTATATTAATGTGAAATAATTTTACACTTTTACTATTTGAAAGGCGACTTAATATTATTAATATTTAGAAGACTAAAAATAGTTAAAGTATTTTTTTATTTATCAAATTATAATAATTATACCAAAGTTTAAAGTTAAGATTCTGTACATACTCCTCTATTAATAGTCAAAGTATATTACAGTCTTATTTATAAAAAAATATTTGTAGATAGTATATCTTCCATATTATATATATATATATATATATATATAT